TATGGAACACAGTTCTACTCTGACCACCCCCCGCCAACAAAAAACGTAAATAAATAACGTAAGCTTCCCCCAAGGAGGAATGAAACCATTCTACCACATAAACAAAATGTTGTAAATGTGGTTTAAGTGGTATTAGGTGAACTGAATAGAATCTTTCAGGCAATTGCTGATAATTCCCAGACATAGCGACAAAGTCCTTTCAAGGGATTAGCCATTTCAGGGTGCCCGTCAAGCCTCCCTTCCATCCACAGAATGGGCACACCACTGGCAGTACCTGGGTACTGTGGATTGAATGTGCCCCCTCCCCCAAAACGTGCTGGACTCCTAACCCCTACACATATGGAAGGAGGCCCTGGGTGGCACAAACAGTTAAGCACTTGACTACTAACCAAATGATTGGCAGTTCAAACCCACCCAGAGGAGCCTTGGAAGAAAGTCCTGGCCATCTGCTTTCAAAAAGGTCACAGCCTTGAAAACCCTATGGAGCAGTTCTACTCAGCACACATGGGGTCACCATGAGTCAGAATCGACTGGACAGCAACTAACAACAACAACATACGTGTGGATATGATCTTATTTGGAAAGAAGAGTTTCCTCTGGTATGTTAATGAGGTCCTATCATGTAGGGTGTATCCTAAATCTAACCACTGCTGAGTGATATAAGGAACAGCTCAGACACAGAGGCCAGCAAGGACAAACATGGAGCAAGGCGGGGGATAAATGCTAAAGATTGCCAAGGCACTGAGGACCAGAAGGTGAAAAAGAGAAGGACCTTCCCCCAGAGCCAGTGCCCTGAATTCGAACTTCCAACCCCCTAAACTGTGAGAAAATAAATTTCTGTTCGTTAAAGCCACCCACTTGTAGTACTTCTGTTACAGTAGCACTAGGAAATTAAGACACTGGGGATCCGCCACCAGCACCTAGCTGATGGCTGGTGTTTGTGCCTGGCAGACTGACCCTCTTGTTGCGACTATTCTGACGTGGAAGATGGTTCTGCGTGGCTCGAACGTCAGGCACGAAACTGCTCTAGACACACTCCGTGGTGTGCCATGGGGAAGGTGCGATATCACCAGGATTCATCTGCAATTCTAGTCTTCCACTTTTCATGATAAGTAAGACTTCCAACTGCAAAAATTTCTGCCAAATCTTCATGTAAGAAAATTGTCAAAAAGAATACTCAACAAAGACCTTAGGATGACAATGTTAGTGATTTTTCTTTTTTTTCTACTTACTTTTCTGTACTCTCCAAATTTGCTACAAAGTACACAAATTTTATAAAAGAAACAACTACATTTTTTTCCCCACCACGGCAACTCCATGGAGAGGAGAACTTCTCCATTGGGTTTTCAAGGCTGTGATCTTTCGGAAGCAGATCGCCAGGCCCCTCCCTTGAGGTGCCTCTGGGTGGGCTCGAACCACCAACCCTTTGGCCAGTAGTCCAGTGCCCAACCATCTGCGCCACCCGGGGACCTCCAAGTTGACGGTACACTCTAAACATACATTATAATTTATTTAGTGATTTAATTGCCACTCTTCCATCTACTCCTCTCTAGACTATAATCTCCATGAGGGCAGAATTTATTTACTATTTTATTCACTATTGTATTCTCAGTTCCTACAATAGTGCCTGGCACATACTAGATGCTCAATAAATATTGAATCAATTATTATATAAATGGCATTTATCTTTCCAACTACACAACTATATTTTAAGAGCTTTGTGAGCAGGAACTATTAAAAAAGAAATCTTTTGTATTCCTCACAGACTGTCTTAGGCTGGGTTCTCTAAAGAATCAAGAACAGTGAAGCATATAAATACATAGAGAGATTTATATCAAAGAATCGGCTCACGTGGTTGTAGAGGCTGTAAAGTCCCAAGTCCATGGGTCAGGCCAGAGGCCTCTCCTGGTTCATGCAGCCACAGGTGCTGATAAATCCAAGACTGGAAGGTCAGATAGGAGGCCTCTGGCTCACAGGATGCAGAGGCTGATGGATCCCAAGATTGGCAGGTAAGCTGCTAGCTCAAGTCCAAGAACCGGAGGTCAGATGAATAGGAGCCAGCTGCAGGATCCAGAGCGAGCTAAATCCAGCAAGCTTTGCGAGAAAGTCCACCTATATTGGATGCAGGCCACATTCCCAAGGAAACTCCCTTTCAACTGACTGGCTGCTCATAACAGATCTCATCATGGGGTGATTATATCAGATCTCATTAAGGAAGTGATTACATCCTTATACAGCTGCCAAACTACATCGTAACTGCCAAACCACTGAGAATCATGGCACAGTCAAGCTGACACACAACCTTAATCATCTCACAGTCCCTGGACCATGATCAGCCAGCAAACACTAGGAATTCAGTATTTGGCAAAAAAAAAAAAAAAAATTTTAAAGCACCCATCACCAAAAAATATAAATGCAATAAGTAAACCTTTTAGAAAAGTTTAAAAATATTACACAGAAATGCAAGATGCTAAATGTCAACTGTATCAGTCAGATCAGGGGAGGGTGTGCTGCAGTAACAAATGACTCCATGTCTCCGTGGCTTGCCACAATGAAGGTTTATTTCATGCTCATACTACATCTTTCACACACCTGCTGTGGACCCAGTCTAATGGAGCAGCCTCCATCTGGTCCCCTGGCAGAAGAAAAGACAGCAGGGTGAAGCAGACCCAGGACCTTACAGCTTCTGCCCAGAAATACCATACAGCACTTCAGCAGACATTGGTCAAAGTCACAAGGCCAGTCTTGTGCTTAACAGGCCAGAAAAGTGTGATCCCCTGTAGTGAGGGGTACAGAAAATTTGTGACCAGTAATACAGTCTGTTACTTCAACGTCAAACACAACAATCCCCACCTCAAGAAGAGGAGAGAGGTGGACACTTGTTCAGTGTCAGCTGCATTTCTGTCATTTCTCTTTTGAATCCTCTGCATGATCCTCTGAGGGATATCATGATGTCCTTTCACAGATGAGAAAACTGAGGCCCAGCGAGGTTAAGTAACCTCCTGGGTCACGCAGCAACTAAGTGGAAGATCAAGAATTTAAACCCAAGCCCATCTGGTTCTGAAGCTCCTGCAGGTCCCACTGTGCCACACTGCCTCCTGGGCAGTGTCAGTTTCTAAAGTGTGTTCAAAGAAAGAGAAAAGAAAAATCCCCTGAACACTAAACTCTGAAGATGAGAACATCTCTTCCCAAACTGAGGTCAGGTTCAGGAAGGCACTTACTCATCCCTCACAAGGCATCATGTGAAAAGCAGCTGAGAGAGTGACGAGGACCTCAAAGGAACACCACGGAGGAAATTCATTCATCGACGCTCACCAGCCCTGGCCAGGCCCATGAACTGACATGGAAGTTTCTAAGTGCAGAAGAAAGGGCCCTTGCCTCAGGCCAGACAGCTTGAGTTCCACACCTCCTTCTGCCACTCATTATTTATGCACATTTGGGAAACAACTTCATCTTGGTAAGCCTCCACTTCCCTGGGTGGCACAATGGCGAAGCGCTAGACTACTTGCCAAAAGGTTTGGTGGTCTGAACCCACCCAGAGGAGTCTCGGAAGACAGGCCTGGTGACCTGTTTCTGAAAAGGTCACTCAGTGGCAACTAACAACAACAAAAAGAGCAATAACAATGTCCCCCTCACAGTGGCTTCAAGAATTAAAATAAGGCAAAAAAAAAAAAAAGGTAAAGCACGTATAATTTGGGCCCACAAACATCTGTTCCCTATGTCTCCCTTTCTTGCCTTAAAGAAGTTGATCACATGGCAGGAATGCCAAGAAAGGTACAGTCCACTCTAAAGATATCCACAGGATAGTGAGGGAGAAAACTGAGTGATCCTTGTAATACCTTTTAGTAAACGCTGTGCAAAGGAATGAGAGCAGAGAGAGCTGCATGTAGTTTAGTACAGTCAATGCAACATATGGTGTTGAGGGGACTGGGACTGGAAAGGTCATATATTATACAAACCTTGGTTTAGTTGCATGTGATAAAATCACAAAATAACTATGGTCTAAACCAGATAAAAGTTCTTTATTTCCCTCTATGAAACAAAGTCAGGAAGCAAGTAGTTCCAAACCAGTGGCTCCACAAGCATCAAGGGCCCAGCTTCTTCCATTTTGTTGCTTCACTAACCTCATGGTCTAAAATGGCTGCTTGAGCTCCAGCCATCACTTCTGTATTCTAGACATCAGAAAGAATGAGAGTTAAGAACATGCTACTTTTCCTTCCATCCTACTAGCCAGAGCTTAGTCATATGGCCTCACCTAGAGATGTCTGTGGGATTTCTGAGGGGGGAGGGGGGTCCCTGGGCAATTGTCCAAGTGTCTGGGGCCCATGGGTGACGACTAAATTGAAGATTTAGCTCTGGACATGGCCAGATTTCCCTGAGGAGAGTGAGGACAGAACCCCAGTGAGGCTGAAACCCTGGAAAGAAGTATGGGCTGCAGGAGGCAAAATCCATAATGAAGAAAGAAAACAAGGAGAGTACAGTATCAAGGAGAAAAAATTTCAATTAACAGGGCCTAGTGTTAAAAGTGAGGCTACTCAATGCCAAATTATTGACAATCTCAACCAACCACGGACCCCAAATCCTGGAATCACAATTCCTTGGCCAATTCTCAGGTCATTTGTAGCCACTTCAACCCTGTTCAGAGCTGCTGGCGGCTCTGAAGCGCTCCAGAAAACATTCCAGGAAAATTCTCACGATTTTAGAGCACACCAAACCACTAGTTCTCCCTCACTGTGAGTAAAACTTGTCGGGGAGGTGGGGGTGGGGGTAGAAGATTACAGGCCTGGCCGCCACTCCTTCTAAGGTCATCGCGCAGACCGCTGTCATTGCCGAGTTCCAGTGTCCCGTTTATCGCGGCGCACTCCTGGTGGACGCCGAAGACCGGGGTCAGGTTCCTCGGCGGCAGCTTAGGGTCCCCAGCTCGCCGGACTCCAGGTGGGGAGAGATGGGGCTAGAGAACGTGGCGCCGCCAGCGGGGCCAGCGCGTGCCGGGGCGGGGCCGGGGCGGGGCCTACGCCGGCGCCTTGGCCAGCAGGCGCTCCGCCAGCCGCGTAAACACCGCCCGAGTGCCGCGGCGGAGCAGGTGAGCGCGCGGGCGGGGCTGGGGGCGCGGGCCAGGCTGGGTCCCTGGCGCCGCGCGCGTAGGGCCCGCAGTGGGGCCGCGACCCGGCCCTGTCCTCCGCATGTCCCCCGCCGCGGCCCCTTCCCCGGCGCCGCGGCCTCTACGTGTGCAGCGGTCTCGGCCTCTGTGGCCGGCGCAAGGGGAGCCGCTGTGGGAGCCGGCCTGGAGCTGGGGCGGGGGTGGGTGGGTGGAAGGGGCTCGGGGAGCGGACCCCAGGCGTCAGGCTACCAGCCCTGCTGGGCCACCCTCCTTCCTTCCTGCCCCGGCGTCCCGCTGGGGGTGGGTGCCAGGCGAGCAGTTAAAGGGGCAGTGCATTTAAAGGAACCGTGCACGTGGGTCTCAAAGGCATGTTAACAAGGGCAACCCTCCAGGCCCTGGGCAGGCAGGGGTCTTCCTGCATATGTGGGGAACAGGCTCTTGGAGGTTTCATCAAATGTTCGCCCATGTCCTAGCCCGGAGCTGGCGCTTTGGTTATCAGAGGCGTTTGGCTGTGGTATCAGGCATTTACAGCTGTGGAGAGGCTCCCAGAATCCAGCTTTTGAAGTTAAAGGACCCTGAAACAGAAACTAGTCCCCACCCTGAATTTTATGAATAAAGAAACAGCCCACAGAGCTGAAGTGACTTTGTTCAAAGTCGCCCGGGTAGGATATAGCAGAGGCAGGCTACAATCCCAGGTGTTGTGGTCTCTAGCTCTGCAGTCCAGCCCTCAGACCAGACCCGAGACCTTCGGTTAGGTGAGATGTTGTCACTGCCTATTGGCTTAATAAATGTTCTCCTGTTAGGGTATAAACTGTTGATTGGTGTAGTAACTGCTTGCCCTTCCATCATCCCTACTTGGTGAGAGGCAGCCCATACCCAATAACTGCAGAGACAGGTAACTCAAAATCGACAGCTGGGGCTACCAAGCTTCCCCTGGGAGTAACTTGATCAGGAGAGACCCTTGCTTCCAGTACCGATGCCTCTGATGTCTACATAGTCCATTCTATAGACACCTGAGCCTCCAAGGCCTGCAGCCAAGGTGTTTAGCAGCAATTAAAGCCTCTTGGATAAGCTGCTTCAGGTGTGTGGGCCTCAGGCTCTTCTCTGTGAATGTGGCAGTGTGAGAATGGGAGACATGTCAGCAGCCATGTTTTTTGGGCCTAATTGGTGATGGGGCCAGGGGTCCTGGCTCCAGCTCAGAGCTGTGTCCTCAGTCCCCCATCAGGTTGTTGAAGTTCATGCTTTGGGTCAGTGAAGTGGGCGTTTAGGGCAGGGGGTTGGAGTGGAGGGCTTGTGAGGATGGAATGGTTATTTCAGGTTTTCAGGAAAACTCTGTATCCTTTGGTGTTGAAGGGCTGGAGTGTGGCATACTCGTGTGGGTGGTGAGCACCCAGTTTCTATGTGAGAAGAAAACAGGACAAGGAAGGGCTTGGCCAGAGGTCGCCGCTCAGGTGTGTCTGGAGGCACGGGGCATGTCGCCTTCCCCTCAGCTCCTCTGTAGCTGCTCTCAGTTCCCACAGCACCAGGCTTGGCAAGTGAGAGGCTCTCAGCCTTGGACCTTGGCCTCTAAGTTATCGATGATAATAATGATATGACATAACCTTATTTTATGAGTTTGTCATCTACAATAAAAAGGTATTTTGTACAGTTTTTGTCACAGTTATCTTAAGTGCTTCGATAATACTGAAACAGTTATTATTATTCATAGAAGGGGAAACTGAGGTTTAGAGAGTTAAGCCACTTGTCCAGTTATGTGGTTTGGGGACTGTGAGCCAGGATTTGAACCCAGCTTGCTCCGTGTTTTCTCTTCTCAGTTTTTGCACAGGGGGCTTCCCACCTTCTTCTCCTGCCTACCTCCCTGCACGGCTGCCTGGAAACTTTCTGTGAGGTTTCCATTAGCAAATACCTGACAAACCAAATGTCTGCTTGCTTGTTTTTTAAGCAACCAAAGCAGTGTACATAGATCCGGTGCGTGTTCCTGTTGAAAACATCTCTGGCTGGTTTTCAGCTGTTGCTTTGACTTTTGGACACTGTTTAGTTGGGGACTGACAAGCTAACAAGTATTTCTGCAAGTATGCCCACCTGTTCCCTGGGCTACAGCAGCTGAGAGAGGACTGGGGGAAGGGTCGTACAGGGCTGAGGTGGGCACAGGGCAGGGTCTGGGAGCTGTCTCTTACCTCCAGCTGGCCGGATCCGAGTGTGTGTAATAAATGTTGGCTTCCAGGACTGAGGATGGTGCAGTTGCCATGCTAATGTCTGGAGAAAAGAGTAATTTCAAAGCGGTCTGCAGGGGAGATGATTTTTTCCATCCTCCTCAATGACTGGGAGAATGTGTTGCTCATTCATCTTTGCTAAAATATGGCCTTCTGGAACAGGAGGATAACATTTAAAAGAGTGTTCACCTTTCTGCTATATTTTAACCAGAAACTTCCTGACTTTATTTATTTTTTAAATAAAATACGTGTTCATTCTAGAAAACGTAGATGTTAAAAAAAAAAAAAAAGATTATTCATTAGCACTCATCCCAGAGATAACCAAGCTGTATACGTTTCCTTCTAGTGTTCTACTCTGTGCCTGTGTGTGTGTGTATACATAGGAGCCCTAGTGGTGCAGCGGTTAAGAGCTCAGGCTGCTAATGAAAAGGTCAGCAGTTCAAATCCACCAGCTGCTCCTTGGAAACGCTGTGGTGCAGTTCTAGTTCTACTCTGTTCTATAGGGTCACTATGAGTTAGAATCAACTTGACAGCACACAACTATATATATATATATATATATATATATCCATCTGTTAAGATATAGGGTTTTCAAGGCTGTGACCTTTTAGAAGCAGACTGCTGGGCCTTTCTTCTGAGGTGGGTGGGTTTGAACCACCAACCTTTTGGTTAGTAGTCTAGCACTTAACTGTTTGTGCCACCCTGTGGAGCTCAGTTCTACTCTTGACACACATGGAATTGACATGAGTTGGAATCAACTTGATGGCAACTGGTTCTTACAACATAAGAGGTAGGAAACTGTAGATGAGGCTTGGTATCCTGTTTTTTTTGCTGAAGGTTAGTTATGCCTTTAGCGTTTTCTTGTCACAGAGTGTTCTTTGAAAACTGGATTTGATGGCTGCACAGAACATATGATGGGTTGTTACTCATCCTACCTGCCCCACAGCTGGACTTTTCCCACCCTCTCTTTGGAGTTGCCCCAGAGAAGCAGTGCCCTGCCTCCTGCCCCTCTGCCCACTGTGGGCATTCCGCCCCATGGTACCACACCTGTGTTTGAGCCCCATCCGGTCCCTGGAGGCCTGTGACTTTGGAGGGTGGAACTACTACTTCAGGGCCTCCCTTTGGGCTCAGGCCCAGCTCTGGCGGAGGCCTTCTCCTCGTGTTGGGGGGAGCTGCCTATCAAATGATGTCTGTCACAATACAGGCTGAGGTGGGTGGATGGATGGATGGATAAAGGTCAGCTGGGGCCAAACACATGGTTAGGTACCCAGGGCTGGGGGAGACAAGCAGGCAGGGAAGCCAAGGAATTTCTAAGGGTGTTCCCAACCTTAGCAAACCTTTTCTTAGTGTAAGGGAAGACAAGGAACTTCCCAGGGGTCATGGGAACATTATAAGTAGCTGTATGACCCTAGAAAATGACCTGCTTAAAATCAGTGCAGCCCTCTTTGAAAGCCAGGGAGCATTGTCTAGGCCTGCTGCAATAAGGAAACCAGGTGCCCTGGATCCAGCCCTTTCTCTGCAGCCTGCCATGTTTGTGGTAAGTGCAGTGGTTCCAGTTTGCTTTTCGAGGAGTGATTTCCACCATTTTCCATGAGATACTAGAGCTTACTACTCGGCATATTAAAATCCACTTCTACCCTAAGGCCCATTGGCCTTAACGTTTTAAGGTCAAAACCTTCACATTTCTCTGAAATGGAAAGAAGGTCGAGGAAACTGGGTCACTGGGTTTCCATGATTTCAGGAACTGCTGACACAAACCCGATTGGGGACATTCTCTGGGTCAGACTCTGCTGGTTTGGATAGTTCAGCGTTTTGATCTCATTCAGCTGATTAATAGGAATGAGCAGCGGCTTTCTTCTGAGTTTTTATTTTGCATCCTAATCCTAGGTAGCTGTCAGCCATGGCGCTTCATTCTGTGAAGGCCTTCCAGAACATGGTCTTGCATACTGGACACCACCCCCCTTCCTATCAGCCCCTCTGCATTTCCTGCCGCTCCCTCAGAGGATGGGGAGCAGGAGGTGGGGAGAGCTGGTTGCTAGGTCGTCATAGGACTTACATCAGCGGTTAGAGCCTGCCAGCCCCCACCCCCTGCTGTGAGTCAGCCCAAAGGGAGAGTGTTGCGTCAGTGTCTCTGATGTGGACAAACATGTAGGAGAAGGTTTTTTTCCTCCACCACACATTTGAGTGGTGATTTTTCCCTCCAAGGATTTCAGAGCACCATCAGGCTTAAATACCAACTTAACACAAAACCTGTTGCCCTCGAGTCGATTCCAACTCAAAGCAACTCAGAAGGGAAGCAAGGGTACCTCCCCTGCTGTTGTTTTTCTGCAGGAGCAGGTAAAGAGGGGCTAAGAGAGGATGGGAAAGGGTCTTCGTGGGGTCCCACCTGTTCCCCCCAGCCCAATGGACGGGAGGCAGGAGGGGGGAAAAGGCTGTCTGTTGATGCTGTTTATTCTCCTTTAAGAAATTAATAGCTTAAAAAAATTATAGAAGTAGTCCATGTTTATTACAGAAACTTTGAGAAATGCAGGAAAAAATAAGTAAAATCGCCACAATACCACTATCCGAAGATGTTTTGTAAGGCCCCTGGGTGGTGCAAGTGGTTTGTTCTCAGCTGCTAACCTAAACGTTGGCAATTTGAACCCACTCAGCAGTGCTGCGGAAGAAAGGCTTGGCAATCTGCTTACATAAAGATTACAGCCAAGAAAACCCTGTGGAGCAGTTCTACTCTGTAACACATGGGTCGTCATGAGTCAGAATCAATTCTAT